GGGGGGGGGAAGGTTCAGGGCCTTTGGGATTCAGCAAAAGCTCATACGGCACGACTGGCATGACAATGGCAGTTTAGTGAAGTGCTAAGCGCACGTTAAAGGCTCGGCGGCCATACCTTAGTTCGGAACCAAACCTCGAATCAAACCCTCAACCCTTGCTGCAACACCAAACCACCATGCACATGAGATGACAAGGCCACCCCATGTCATAGTCATGAGTCATAACGCTAATGAGATTGAGCACGATAAAGGTAGTGGAAATATAACAAGAACAATCATGGCAATAGTAGCCATATGTAATCAATGTAATCATCATAGTAACGGTTATCAAGACATAACAAGCCCGTCCTTCAGGCTTTGAAAAGCCCGGGCAAACTCAAGAACCAGCCTGCAAAGCGCTTCGAAAGCTCGATGCAGCCTCGACCTCGCAAGAAGGCAGTGGGGCCAAAATAAATAGACTAGGGTTCCTTTGAGGATTCCTTCAAACATTAAGAGTCCCTCTCAGAGTTCCTACACAGGGTTCTACAAAGGCTTCAATGCAAGACAACAGCCGCCAACCCCGCCAACCCGTAGCCAGTAAACCTCCCGAATTTTTTTAGCACTCACTCTCGACAAAGTAGGGGAGGTTACAAAGCCTAAACCCCTTGCCCAAAAACGCTCCTACTTCAAGGCTCCAAACTCCAAACCCCAAACAACACACGGTGGGGATCTCACCACCTACATCTTAAAGGCTAAGCGGGCGAAGACCCCAGTGCAAATGTCCGGTAGGGTTCGTGGGTTGACAGCTTTCAAAAGGGACTTGGGATGCATGGGTTTATAAGGTTTAGGGTTTATAGGGTTTAGGGTTTATAGGGTTTAGGGTTTATAGGGTTTAGGGTTTAAGGTTTATAGGGTTTGGGATTGTTTTGGGGTTTTAGTGGTGTTGTGGGGTGCAGTTTGGGTTTCGTTGAGTCAGGCTCAGAGGGTAAGGAGGTTGGGGTTTTGAGCTTAGCAGTGTCTATTGCACATGGTTGTTCCGCAGGCCGGAGTCAAACACCATGCATCCCAAGACCCTAAACCCTGACCACCAGCTTCGCCTGCATCGTCCGAGTGTGAGAGCCGAAGCCCTAAACTTAAACGCAAAACCCCAAAACCCCTGAACTCCCAGTAGCTCCTTCAAACTCCAAACCCTAAAACCTATAAACCCTAAACCCTATAGACCCTAAACCTTATACACCCTCAACCCTAAACTCCCCGTGTTTGCCGGACCTCGAGCAGCTCAGGGCGCGAGGCGATGGCGTAGGCCGCCTCTTCCGGCCCGCCACACCTGGGTCGTAAAAGGTCGGGCTTGGCGCTTGTGTATTGGATAGGTAGGTTGGGGTTTAGGGTTTAGGGTTTAGGGTTTAGGGTTTAGGGTTTAGAGTTTAGGGTTTAGGATAGATAAATGGATAGATGGATGGATGGATGGATGGATAGATAGATACACCGTTAGATGATAGATGGATAGATGAATGGGTATACAGATAAAGGTGCGGTACTGGTTTACACCTATGCCTACATCCATACATCCATCTACACATAAACGCATACACATGTATGCATGCATGCATGCATGTATACAATCTTGTATGGATGTAATGATCTACGGGTGTATGGCTGCCTGTAGGTCACTCAGACTTTATGTAGGCTTTCGACTTGTTTGGGCAGCGAGGCTTTTGCGCAGGGTGCTCTTTCCAAAGCCTCAACCCTGAACTGAGGGCTGCTGCTTTTTGGGTTGGGGTTATTTGGGTTCGGGGGAAGGGATGTGGTTTGATGGTTGCAAGGTCTAGCCGTCATGACATCCACCGAAGGAAAATCTTGAGCCTCTGCAATGAAAGCCCCTAGACCATGGACCATAAAGCCAAAATCTAAATGCTAAACTAAACTCCGAACCCCAAAGCCCTGAACCCTAAAAGGCCATAAACCTCTGATACCCCAAAAACCCTGAACCAATGAAGACCCAGGTGCAGGGAGACAAGTGTTGGCATGATCTTCCGGATTTGAGCTTCCTTGGCGATAACCCTAAGGGTCCAAGTACCTAATAATCATATACTCTCCCAAACAGTATTTAGGGTTTAGGGTTTAGGGTTTAGGGTTTAGGGTAATCTACATAACTACGATCAGAAACCTAAGTACCTTCTAATTGGGTCCTTTGGACCCTTGAGGTGAGAGGATCCGGCTTCAGGGGTTTCAGCACTCACAACTCGGACCAGCCTGGCGGGCTCTCGGGGTCGAAGGTTTCGGGTTTTCGGGCGTTTAGGGGTCTGGGGCTTTAGGGGTTTTAGGGTTTCTGGGGGTTTAGGGTTTAGGGGTCTGGGGTCTAAGGTTTCGGGTTTTCGTGCGTTTAGTGTTAAGTTAAGGGGTCCGGGGTTTTTGGGTTTAGGGTTGTTGGGGGTTTAAGATTTAGGGGTTTAGGGTGTATATAGAGTGTAGAACGGATCAGGATAAACTGGGTCTTGGGTTTTAGGGTTTTTGTTGGGGGGTTTAAGATTTATCGGGGTGTAGGGTGTTAGAGGGTAGAAATGAGTAGAACGGATCCGGATCAACGGCTTAGGGCCTATAGAGCTGAGGCTGGGCTCGAGCGGCACACAAGCAGTCCCAAGATTTCAGGAAACAAGTTGGGGTTTAGGGTTTAGGGTGTAGGGCGAGACCTGAAAAACGTCGGGGGGAGGAGGCCTTCTCTCTCGCCCACTCCGGCATGTAGTGAATGTAGTGAATGTGGAAGGACACTCTGGCACCAGGATTTTAAGAGGAACCGCGAAAACAAGGTAAACCGGTGCAATTAGTCGGATCAGCGGATGCCAATCCCTATGCACAGCTAGGCACTTGCATCCATGCGAGCATGAACTCCTACACACATTGCTCACCACTTCCTCTTAGGCTAAAATGTGCAGGTGCACGCGCAGCAATCCCTCCAAACACCTAAACCCGTATGTGCGCAATCACGCACATACGCACACACAGACACACATACGTTCGTGCACACACGCGCACACAGCATCGAGGGCGAGCACATTCCCGACACACACAAGCACCGGACAGAGTACCAAATCTTCTTGGCAGGGCTCGCTGACGCGAAGCAGGCTCGGGTTGTTGTGCGTGGCCAGCACGGCGAGTCGTTCGCTCCGTAGAGACCTGGCTACACTGGGAAAACTACTTATTAACCGTAGTGTTTGGGGTTTAGGGCTCCGAGTTACTATAGAAGAGTGTAATTGCAGGTTATCCGCATGAAGCTTATTGTACTGCATGCGTCACCAAAGTTCACGACCCAGGGTTCTGTTCAGGGTCCTGTGAGGCTTGTATACGGGCTGCTGCAAGGTTTTAGGGTTGCTTTGAATTTGAGCACATAGGTGTTGCTTGGTGCTGCTATGGTTATATACTGTGGGGGCCTACATATAGTATAATGGGCCCCAAAACCCTATTCTAATTATTAAGGCCCCTACAATACCTCCTTCTACCAATGAGCCCGCGCTTTGACGAACACTGCAGTCAAGGATGTTGGTCGAGGTAGGGGGAGAGGTAAGCCGTCTAAAACACACCCCGAACCCCAAGTCCCTCCGTCTTTCAGGCGCCGTCTAGGGGTTTAGGCTCTCAGAACTCGGACTAGCCAGGCGAGGTTCAATAGGTCTGAGTCGGCGTGATACCATCTTCGAGAGTCTGTTAGGGTTTTGGGGTTTTGAACTCTCGCAACTCGGACTCTGCAAGCGCGGCTGGTTCGGTTCGACAGCACACTGTCGGCAAGTCCTTTTACATCTGGACTTGATGAATGCCAGCACCCCACTGAGCGCAGGACCAAGGACTGTCGGCAAGTCCTGAACCCTACACCCTAACCCCCGAGGTACCTACTATATAGGGTACTAGAGCCCCTAGGGCCCTATATAGTAGGTACCTGGAGGGTTAGGTTAAACCCTAAACTAAAGCCCCTAGGGCCCTATATAGGGTACTAGAGCCCCTAGTAGGTACCTGGAGGGTTGGGGTAAACGCTAAACACTCAGAGCACGTTCGCGCGCCTGGCGAGTGCAGGAAGCGCCTGTTCGCCCGTGCGTGCCTTCTCCTCGGCTGCTGTTGGGATCTGGGGTTTAGCGTTTAGGGTTTAGGGGTTTAGGGGTTTAGGGTTTGGGGTTTAGGGTTTAGGGTTTGGGGATTAGGGTTTGGGGTTTGGGGCTTTTGGGGTGCTTTGCGTTGTACAGGGCTGGTAGGGTTCAAGGCTTTGGGTTCCATAGACGGGCAGGGGTTAGAGGTTTAGGGTTTGTAGAGTCTTGGGCCTAGGGCTTAGGCCCAGGGATTGAAAGGTTGAGTTCTGCAAGGGCTGTCATGGAGCACAAGTTGCATTGAAGGCGGGGCCTTCTGAAGCCGACCTCATTCTCTTGAGGCATCCAAGCGTCCCAAAGAAGCTGCGGTTGGCTCTTAGTAGCTTCGCAGAGGTGGTGGCGGGCTGTGACGGTACCAGCCAGGCGTGTGAGGTTGTTTTCCGAGCGTGCTAACCGACCGGAGATGCCTCCTGAGCCCAGGTCCAAGATTGGCATTCACGGTGTAAGACAATGTAGACAGATGAACCCTAAACCCTAAACCCTAAACTTTATACACAAACATACACTCGCTGTATCGCAACCACACCATAGGTCGTAGATAACAGACGTCAGGGCGAGCTCTGGCTCTGGCGAAAGGGTTCAGATCTTACACAGCTGCAGGAAAGTTGCTAGACTAGTCTGGGGGCCATAATAGCTGGAATAAGGTTTAGAAGCAAATTACGGTGTAGCTGCATAGTAGATAATGAACCCCAGGATAATAAGTTCGTAATTCTTTCGGCCCCTAAACCCTAAACCCTAAACCCTAAACCGGCCCCTAAACCCTAAACCCTATATGAATGGCTTTGAAACTTCGCCCCTGCCTGTCTTGGCCAGGCGGGGGGTGGAGCTCCTTGGCTGAGCGGCGCCATCATCCGAGAAAGGCTGGCTGGCAGACTTCCCAAGCTTGGGCGGCAGTGCCTTCACAGTCCCTGTCAGGGAGGAGGGCATAGTGTAGGGGCCTTAATATTAAGAATAGGG